AGATAATAGCCACAATAATGGCTTTGATTTGGTTGCATTGGGTACTATAAAGAAACCAAAGATCAATTAAATTGTGTCAATATAAAATGGTTCTTTGATTGAAAAAAGTTGGCCAAATGAATACCTTTAACTGCTGCCATGTGTAGATGGTGTCAAAAGACTTCAATAGGGGGCAAAGCATACTTCTCACAGTGCGATACAACATTATGACTCTATTAACAAGGAAGTAAACAATTTATGTGAGAAAATGTGTGAAAATTAAAACATAAGAGTAACACCTATTAAACTTACTTATTGAAGAGTTCTAACATCTCTTTCCTATTACTTAGTTTTCCATTAAGGGGATCCAAGCATCACATTTTCTAAGTGTCAGGATTCACACAATAAGCATCCAATTCCCCTTAACAAGAAACAACAAGATTTATGAAGCAACTCAATATAAAAATTATTTGATTGTATCAAGTAGTTAGATAGTGGCTCACCTTAGCAGTAAGGAGCTAAGAATAAAGTGCCATTACCTGTGACCCTATGCAAAAACTAATCCAACAGCTTCCTTGCTTGATTTTCAAGTTCACTTTAGTAATGTCACTATGGGGAGAGACATTGTGAGGATTAACTAGCTTGACCTCAATTTCAAGCCACCAAGGACTAGGAATGTGGTGTAAAGATGCCTTGGATGTCAAAATAAACAAGTTAATATATCTATATATAATTCAAATAACTGAGCATGGTTGAAGAAATATCTCATAGGAAGCTTATCAAGTTAGTACTTGTCCTTTCATGCTTGAGAATTTTGTTCAGAATTTCATCTCGAATAGAGTCAAACAAGCTTGCCTTATCGTTAGCCCATCCTCAAGTGATTGTCAAGTATGTACTTAATATATTTGACAATTTTATTTCTGTTTATACAATATATCTATGTGATACTTGCTTAATAAAAATCATAACCTATGTAAATAAAAAATGTGATGATTATTTTCAATCAAGTGTCAAATAATCTCCTCCTTTTTTATTTGACGGTTTGATGGAATAACTATCAAATATATTCTTATAAAGTTGATGGTTAACTTGTGATAACTATCAAATATTCTTCATCCTTTTTATTTATTGTTTATCCTAAATAAATGACAAGTATAAGGCATTATATTTAGCAATTTCTTTAGCAGTTTAAACTGCTATAAATAAGGCCACTGTCAAAGTGAAAATGGTTTATCAAGGAATAATATAATTTGTTTTATCAAAGTGAAAGTATTCTCTCTTCTTCCTCTTGGCTCTTAAGCCAGTAATGAATATCATTAAAAGCATTTAGAATCAATAAATATGCAAAAATATGAATTTCTTTTCAAAAATACCCTCATGTATGTAGTTGACTAGTTACTAATAAAATACTTTGTTGTTTCTTATAAATACCCTCATTAATTAGGGTGAAAAAAGAAAAATTGTAACATTCTCCAAACAAAATGTCATCGTTTCTTATGAACAAGTTAACTCTCAATATCCTCTTATAAAAGAACCAGAGGAATTATTTTAGTTAATTTATTAAGGGAAATATTAGAAAGTAGAGATAATTCTAAAAACATATACTAAACTTAACCAATTTTCTTGGCTTTATGGTAAATTAGTTGGAACTGATTTGCATATAGGATCACAAGAAATTTTAGGATTTTAATTTATTTATTAGCAAAAGGATTGAAATTTATTACAGACTTTTTGGATGCAAATAGACCTAGAACTATTTATTCCCTATGTATTTCAAGAATATGCAATGAAATCCCCAAGTATATTTGCTTCTTAAAAAAGGATTATGTTAGTCAAGGGTACTAATGTAAGTGCTCTCTCAATTTTCTAAATAGGTGTTTAGTTCAATTAATTCTTTAATCTTTTAATTAACTAACTTAACTTCAAATCTCATTACAAACCCTATAACCATGTAGGGCCAATGGGTACATCTCTACCTCATCAACAAACCTATCTAGTCAACCTTGAAAATTTAAGTTCTTACACAATTAAACTAAAGTTCTGCATTCAATTTAGCTCTCTCAAGCATTGGTAAACTAAACACAACAATTTCTTTGGAAATCAAGCAACAAGAGGTATTGAGAATGGAGCAAGGTCAATATAATCATGTCATCAATCACAAGTATATTGGGAAATGAGTACTCAATCTATATAAAAGATCAAAATAATCCTAGAATCATGAGTTTAGCTACTCATATTTAGAAATAGGCTACAATAATACATCAAAAACGAATCCATAACAAAACAAGAGAGTATAGGAAGAAAGGGGAAGAGAAAAGAACAAATAAATAAATAAGCTCAAATCTTTCCAAGTTTTAAACTGTAGCTTCAATGGTCACCCAAAATCCTAGCCCTAGCCACCACAAAGTTCCCAAATGCTCCCAAGAATACCAAAATGATGACAAATGTTGAAGGTTAGATAATCTATACCAAAATCCCTAAAAAAAATTAAGTGAAACTACGTTTTATTGTTAGGGGCTTGCCGTTGTGACATAGGAAACAATGACAAAACCACATTATGGTGAGGGTGTGCAACTACGCCCACTCATTTTGGACAAAATTACAAGTAGGGTATGTAAATTTTGCAACTTTAATTTACACCCCCTATTCTTGGTATTTTGCACCCATTGACTAAATGAAAGATATTTAGAATCAAAAGCTTATTGGATATAATATTTTAATGATTGAGATGAGATATAAAGAATGTATTTATATAAAAGACTATATTAAGTTATTCAATGTAATTTTCTAGAAAGAAAAATCATGATCAATCTATTTACATTATCACAATTTTAGTCCCAATATACTAATTATTTTTAAAACTTTATCAATTTTTAAATTAAATTATTATCTTGCACCCTCTGGCTCTAAGTTATAGCTCCACCACTGATAAGAAGAATGGCATCGTAACTTTGATCTTCTTTGCCAAAATTTTCAATGTTGTAATTAATTTGACCTCATGATGCTGGTTGCCTCTATCTACTTTCTACTTGTAGCATGAATTTGGCTTTCTTATGATGGTTCTTCCTTCTAGCTAAAAGCTTATGGTCTCTTTTAAATTATCCAAACGGCTGGGTTCTTATGCTAAAATGTTCCTGCAAGAGAATAATTTCAATTAGCTAAAAAAATAAAATTTCAAAACTTAAGGCCAAAAAATACACAATTAAGCAGTGTTTCCCATCTTGGCTAGGAAATTCATAAATTAGTTTCCCCTATTCTTGATTCAGGTTACTAAGGTTCTTTTAGAACTGAAGCTAAATGAATACCCTAATTTTCTGTGTATTAGGGCAATGATAGGTCTCAGGATGTTTTGAATATATACAAAGGAAGTTTGGACAGTCAAGTTGAAGGATATTAGTAGAGAGGAAAGTAAAATTTATTTAAGCCAAAATTATGTTTATTTTTAATTTTAATATCTCCCTTAAACTTGTTTATTTTATTCCATTCATGCTTCTTAGCCTTTCAAAATCTCCCTATCGAGAATGTTGACAACTTAAGCTTCTAACTTTATTTTAAATTTCCTTTTATAAAATGCATTTATGTGATATAATGATATCATATGTCAATGTTCTTACTTTTTTATCATGAATAATGAATTCTTTGCAAGCATGAGAGTAAACTTGTTATCAAAATAGACATCTATTACTTCTAGTTTATGAGAGGCATGTATTGTTATAGTACATTTCAAATCAAAGTGATGACATCACAAGCACAAGGATTTTCAGCAAAACATTTTGCACATACCAAGAGTGACAATAGATTGCTCCTTAGAAGTGAATGTTGTCTATTCCATGTACAATAAAATGTTAGTTGCACGTTTGCAATGATCAAAGTCACCAACCCAATCACTATCACTATACCCTGTTTGGTTTAATTCTAGATCCAATGGGAAAGGTAATTCGGATTGCAATATCAGTGAAAGTTTGTGGTTGGCACTTTATCATGGTAATATTGATCCCATGGAAACTTGATTACTAGAAATTACTGATAAAGATTCACAGGTCTGGGGCTATGAATCCTCATTGCCAGGTGTAAGAATCCAAAAACTAATCCAAATCTTAAGTATTTCCTCTTAATATTTTATGAGTCTTTTAATTAGGTGTTTGTGGGTTTTGGAAATAACTAAAGTTTTAGTGTTGTGTGTCATGAGTTATTGTGTTCATCTAGAATAGTGTCGTTCATGTATGTAGAAATGCATGTGTTTCTGTAATATGATAGATAGGGTCAAAAGGAGACAAGAAGAGCCATTGGAACAAGTTCTCAAAGACATTGTATCCTCAGATACTGTTGAAGGAGGAAATAGAGAGAGGATAAGGATGAGGAAGAGGATGGCTAGTGGTTTCAAGAGGGTGTTAGAATGTTCATGTATGAGTGAACTTGAGTTGATATGGAAAGTCTCCCTTCAAATAAAATTAAATTTAGTAACTAATATGTAATTAAAAAAGGGACCTATAAACTTGAACTTGAAAGTTTTAAATTAAAATGTAGCATCATGATGCTAGCCTTAGTTGTAATTGGGACTATCTTCTTATTCACTTTAACATGTAGAACATGTTCAAGTGAGAATTTTAGGAAATCATTTACTTCAGAATATTTGTGGATTTCATGCATATGGCGCTTACTAGTTTCAAGTTGTACAAGGATTTGATTTTTAATTCTAAAATCCTTATTTTCTTGGCCTTAAGTTGTTCAGATAAACTTCATCTAACAATCCTTTCAAAATTCAATAAAGTTAGCAAAAATGACTAGAAATCATAGAAAAATCATTTTTTATTTAAGTTGATAGTTCAAGTTCTTCAACTCATAAATTGCATCAGCTTACGGAAGGCCATTGATGTTCACCTTAATCAAAGATTCAAAACTCAGAGAGTGATGCTATATGAAAGTATATTTTACTTGCAAAATTTTATTTATGTTAAGGCACAAAAATATATTAATACAAGAAAAGATAAGCCAATGTGTAACATTTTTGCTGTTTGAAGCATGAGGCATGTCATTGAAAAGAGAAACTCGCTCTTAGATCTGAACCTTGACAGATCAAACCAGCCATCTCTTGAAGTGCAGGTATATATAAAGCTCTTCTCCATTCTCTCCCTTTGATATTTTGATATTTCAATTCATGTTCCTTTTGTAAACTAGATTCTTTACCAAAGCTAGTGAAGATTTATTGTAATGTCAATCAACATAAATGATAGCATGTATCTACATTGGGTGGTTTTGTTTTGCATTCCCATACAAAATAACCAACTTTTGTAAAACTAGATTCCCTACCAAATGCTCTTTTGGAACCTTTCACTATTGCAGAAAAGGGAATTAACGTTGCCTTTTTACATCGGTTATCCTACAAATCTGATGAGGAATGTCTACTTTTCATGTCAGTTAAACTGATGTTGGAAGGCAAGCTACTAACACACTTCTTTCTACACCCCTCACTCTTCTGATGTAAAAAGTTTTAAAATAACTGATGTAAAAGTCCTTTCTGTAGTAGTAGTGTTTAGAAAGTGTTGCCAACTCTCATGTCTCGTTCCTTTTTATTGTCTTAATTAATCTCCTCCATCATGGCTTACAATAACCATTTTTTATCTTTTGCTGCTTGAAGAAAATAGAGAAAAGAGGTTAAATTGATCATTTAAATTTTCACTAACCTCATAATTTCTTCTAAACTTACTGTAATGTTGGGCTTTCTTCTGGAACTTGAACTTGATGAAGGATCATGAACTAATGAAGTAGGAGTTGAGACAGTGGACTTGATCAAGTGGTTGATTATCTTCTCTGAATATGGGGAAGAAATTCATAGTCTTCATTTTCTTTAGACCTACAATCCGATGAAGTTTCTCATCCAACTCAACGTTGTAGAGCTCGTAACATTTAGACATCGCATCATAGCCAATGAGAGCTAGCTTCTAGCTTTGTCTTCTTATTCAGTTTTCTTCCATTCCATGCTTCCATTAGAGTTGTCTTAGGGGCACTTCTGGAGACAACCGTATAGGATAGATATACTTCATATTTTACAGCATCATCATCTCATGATTCCTAATTAGGCATCTCTTTACTTTTCAATATGCTTCGTACCATGTGAAGATTCGTTATGCACTTTCACTCAGTTATGCCATTTTGTTGCAAAAACATTGGCACAGTTAAAGGAAGGCGAATCCTATCATTTTCACGGATGCTGCTCATTTCTTTGGATGCATGCCAATTCTCATTCCCTATCAGATTATCCTGGCCTTAATTTCATTGCCCCTCTTCTTTTCTAAACAACCTTGAGCTTCTTGAGCATGCATGGTTTTACAGCTAAAATCATAAATTAAGAGTAGAAAGCACCTGTTTGTGCCATGAGAATTTAGATGTATCAGTCCACGGATATCTGTGTGAACAAGCTCTAGTGGCTTCTTCACTCTTGATGTAGCATCCTTTAGAAAGCTCTAAGGATACTATTATGAGTTCCACATTGGCAGCCTCACAGAAGAAGTGAGGTTTATAAGTTCAAGAAATTTTCTCACCCAACAAGCTAGTTTTTTCGAAATGAGCTCTTTCTTTGAAGTGGTATTTATAATATTGAATATTTCATCGAAGAGACCAATATCATGGAGAGTATAGTCAGAGGAAGAGAGAAATTATTCCAAAAGAGAGTGACCACAAAATCCTTCATCCCTCCACATGAGTGCCTTGAGGCCGACTATAAACCCTTACCTTTCGTTAATAGGCATCTGGCCCATTAACATAAATTGCTCTATGGTCCAAGCCCACATTAAGATTGGTGGAAGGTGAGCCTTTTACAATCTCCTTTCCTGAGAGCAATATCAAGTTAATCAAAGTTTATATGTCAACCTGAAATTCCAAAGCCAAGAATCCTCCTTGACACATGCTTTTGGGCATTTATCAACATCATTTTGAATATTTAATAAAAAAATAACATCAATCTATTTCTTTTCATTGTCATTTCAGTTATATCAAGTTTTTCTCCCATCACTATACATAGGCATCAGAAATTACTTTATGCCTTCCATCATTCCAAAAACCCTCTTGGAGACATGTCCTTTAGTTGAAGAAACCTTTACTTGGATTTTTTCTTCTTCTCAATTGTCTTGATATTGTATCTTCCTCTTCCCCCACATGGCGTCTACCATGTCCACGGGGCCAAAAAGAGTTTATCTTATTTAGACATACCTTATTTTTACTTTATCAATGCCCTAGTGATACCAGCAAATTGGTCTCACTATCACTGATCTGATACCAATTTGTTGAAGCAAGGATATTGGAAGGAAGCTTTCCATTAGAAGCTTTTCTCTTTAGGCTTGATGCACCAAAGGACAATCACTCTTATTTATAAACCTAGAATTCTTTTCCAAAGCTAAACAATTCCAAATCAAACAAAAATTTAGACAGATTTATCATTTTCTTGTTCTAATATAAAGTTTTAAGCTAAAGCGTGGCAAATTTTAGAATATAGTAATTGACTGAAAGGCTAACAAGAAACAAGTGATATCCTTTTGGGGATCAATGATTTTATTTTGAAATTTCTAAAAATGACAGCTAACTGATATATAATTCATTTTATTATACTTAACAGTATTTGTCTTCGATTTTTCTTAGAACAGGAGAAATTTTCCACTCACAATTTTTTTAAATTTTATTCTTTACTCCCTTCTACCACTGTATTTTGAGTGCCAAATAGACCTTTCAATTGTTTGTTTACTATATTTTGGCTTGGTGTAAAACTAATAGGTTAGGAATGTCCATAATTATACCTTTTAGAGAATCATAGAATTGGAAATGGGAGGAGGAGGAGAAGAGAAATGAGCAAGATTAGTGAAAAAACCCCATATCATAACTCAAAATCTAAAGTTTATGAGTCCTTCCTCTATGTTTTATATTAATTATTAAGCTTAATTTTATCTGGTGTGAAATTTTTCATATCAGTTCAAGTCCACTCACAATTATACAATTTAATATAGTTTTTTTTTTTTGTCATTGAACAGGTAGAAGGTGAATATTTTAGGCTAGAAAAGGAACTGAAAGAGAAGAGTCATGAATTAAGGTATTTTTAAATGATGAGAAATTTTAATGAGGCATAATGCTACAATGTGTTTATTTTTTAATCTAAATATGTAGTTTCTACATCTTACAGGCAACTCAATGGAGAAGAACTACAAGGATTGACCTTAAAAGATCTAAGGAAACTAGAAGATTTAATTAACAAAAGCTTGCATCGCATTTCAAAAGCAAAGGTTTGTTTTTCTTACCCTTCACTGAATACTTTCTTCTTTTGCCTTTTTGTTTTTTTGTTTTTCCTTTTTTTCCCTACCAAACAACTCAATATCTAGAAGCTAAAACTTAGGAGTATTTCCACCACCCGCCCAAACTTATTTTTTGAACCCCCACTGTGTGAAACCATTATTGCTAAAAGTAGCCTTATGAGTACCTCAAGAATGCCTTTGGCATTTTTATATAACATGACTGCATATCTCAAGATTCAAGATCCCAAAATAAGTTAGTTCAACTCTCTCAATCAGTTAAACCAAGTGCACCCCTTGATTGAACTCTTTCTTTATTGGTCTGGTAGTTTACCCCATCAATATTCAGTGTATTATATAAAAGTAGAATGGATTAATACTAGTTCATTATTTTGAGATTCATTGAATCATGTACATGACACAGGTTAATGCCCTATATATATATATATATTTATTTAAAACAGATAGAATTCATGTCTTTCAGGATGAATTTTATGAGCAGGAGGTCAGTATTCTCAAGAACAAGGTTAGTGTTAACTTCATTTTTTATCAAAAACGTCCTATTCAGTCTTTTCCTCTTGGTTATAATGAGAAACTATTGATCATATTTGGGGTCATTATTCTGAAAAAAATATTTTAGTTTCTCATCAAGTGTTTGCAAGCAAGCATTTAGAATTTAAGGCCAGAATTATCAAAATATATGTATTTTTATGTGCCCTAAATAAGAGGAATTATCTTTTCCAGTGAATGAGGAATTTGGGAATGTAATAAAGAGAAAAGAGAGGCAGTAAGTTGAAGAGGCAAAAAACAACATAAATAACTTTCTGGTATGCATGGAGTCAGAGAAAACAATATAAATAGTTATCTTTTATGTGTCCTTAAGGAGTTACATACACTTCAATCAAACACTATTAACAAGTTATCAGATTGCAAGAGATTTATCTGAATATATATATATATATATATTGATTTGAATGTCTGTCTTCACACGCACATATATAATGTCTCTCATGTATTTGAATAATGGGTTTGATATGTCAATGAAGGAAGCCAAACTCCTGGAGGAAAACCAGAGACTAAATCAGGTTTTAGATTCTTGTCATTAATTATCTTGTTAATCAATGTCTGTGTCTTCATAATTATAATGTATCATTTTCCTTGTGTTCAAAATTAATGCCAATCCAGGAAATCAAACTCAGAGAAGAACAAAACCAGAGATTGCAACAGGTAAAAAAAAATTCTTAGATTCTTGTCTTTCTTTTGTTCAATGGTATCAAAACTTTGGACTGAAATTGTGTCAATAGGTTCTAAGTCTTGAGCATGACCAAAACCAGTCACTGGACGCCTCTCCCAGACTGAGGTAAGGATCAAGGGCTCCTTTCAAGACCATGGTTGTTTTACCTGGGTTTCTGATTTTTTTTTTTTTTGTGAAATTGACTCTTTTAGTTAATCCTAGTTGTTAATCAACTTGAACAGTTTAAATTGTATTCTATTAAAAATAAAAAATTATCGTTGATAAATTTGCATGTTCAAATTCATTGAAAGATTACACGGTTTTATCTCTCTTTTGCAATAGCACAGTGCTACAAAAAAAGAGATGGACTGTGTGAAGAGGTTGGGCCCAATCACCTAACATATATGTGCTACGATAGAATATCAAGGACTTTACACAATTATATAATGAACTTGAGTCGATGTGAAAAGTTTTACGGTGGATAAAGTTAGATTTAATAATTAAATATATGATAATATAGATTTTTAAATTTAAATCTTAAAATTGAGTTAAAATGCGGTATCATTTTGATATTTTTTTTACCCATTTTTTTCTCTCCCATTTTCAAGTAGTCACTTCTCATTGCTAATAAGTGATATTAGACCTGGTTTTACTTAGTTAGGAGTTGGAAACCCGTATTGCACACATTTGAAATTTAAGATGAGTTTGATCCTGAATGGAGCAAGGACTTCCATGCACCATACCATTTGATTTTGGTGTTAGGAGCGTTTTTAATATAGGGAGCTTGTGGACCACATTTGAGAGGAAGATTGGAGTTTTGAGTTAAAATATAATGACATTCTACTCTCTCTCCCATTTTCAGGTGCTTGTTTCCTATCCTAACAACTTAAATGACAATTATTTCCTCATCTTATCAATGAGTGAGAACTGTGAAACACTATTGTGGGCTTGATTTCCTGTTTTATCTCAAACATGCTTAGATTTTGATTTTTTTTATATTGAGTTTTGATAAACTCGTATTAATGTTCAGGTGAACAAATTTCTCACATGCGAAATATTTGCTATTATTATATGCTTCCTAAAAAATCACTAATCTCTCTCACGCATAATCTTTCGCCTACACGTGCATGCACAAGAGCATAAAGAGTTGAAGATATGGCAATATTAAAATTCTCAAACATTTAATTCTCTAGCGTGCCTCCAACAAACTTACTTTCAATAGAAGACACCTATGAGCAATAGAATTCTCAAACATGTATCTTTACTTTTCTATGGATATGGATAAATTTAATTAATCTATATATGATCCCAAACAAGATTAAGATTATTACTTTCCATGAGGTGTTATTTATTTTCATTGACTTGCAGGTTGCTGTCTCTGAATCTAAGTTAAAGTTTCTGGAAGATGAGGAACGGTGCTAAATTATGTCGTTCGTAGATTATGAATAGTTTGTCCAATATATACACACACACACACACACAGAGACCCATGTATTTGAAATAAGTGTGAAGCGCATTGTTCTATACGAAATTAGTGGTTTCTGTTTTTCTCATTGTAACTAGTGTGTAACCCGCGCGATGCATGGGGTGTGAGACTATTGGGCGTGATTAGCAATAATGCTATATTAAATAATAAGCTTGTAGATCAATGTGAATTTTATAAATTATTGCATGATATATAAGTAAAAGAACATGCATTTTTTGTATAATAATGGAGAATTACATTGAAGTTCCATACAAAAAAATTAATTACTGTAAGGTTCATTGATAACTAAACTAAGCTGTATTGACAACACAATACAGTTTGATTTAATTATTAATGAATCTTGTAATAATTAATTTTTTTGTGTAGGATCTGGTTGTAATTCTCTCTAAAAATAATGACATTTCTTACTTTGGAGTGATTGAATTATATTTTAAATGCATTTATTTTGATTCCAAATTAGATCTGAATGATCCACATTATATTAGAGGTGATTAGCACCAATTGGATGATTTTATAGAATTATAAAAGTTAAATAGAAGCAAGTAATGTGATAAGAAAAAAAATATAAGAGACTTCAGATAAGGCAATACATGGCCAAAATAACTCCATTTTGCCATGTAAAATAAAAAATATATCAAAATCAAAGAGATGGTATACCATAGACATGAGTTTTCGTGAAAATAGAATGGACGAAGTGAGGAAGTTTTGAAGAGGGAAGTAAGTGATGCATGGTGTCAAAATTTGTAGAAGTAAATAATTAAAAACTTCAAATTAAAATTAGACAGTAACAACATAATTACATAAAGCAGATAACATTATAACTCTAAATGCTAAACAAAAATAAAATAAAATTTAATATAAAAAAATATTGTCCATCTTCAATATCACACTTCACCTTGATTTTCTCTTTTAAAGGAAATCTCTTAGCTTCAGTTGTTGGCTCCTCTTTCTCTACTTCATTTGAAGGCCCATCTTCAACCATAATGGGAGTGGGATTTGATGAAGTTATTTTCTTCTTCAAAGGACATCTATTAGCTTTAAGAGCCAGATAATCTTTTTCTAATTCATTTGAGGATCTAACTTTGGCCATACTAATGGAAGTAAGACTTGCTAAAGTTATTTTCTTTTTTAAAGGACATATATTAGCTTTAGGTGCTGGCTTATCTTCTACTTCATTTAAAGATCCAACTTTGATCACATTAATGGGAGTGTGATATGATAAAGTTTCACATTCAAAATCTTTCATAAACAACTCTAACTCGTGCAAATAAAATGCCATAGCATAATATCAATAAAAATGAATAAGCAGTGAACATAACAAAGAACCCAAGAATTTGCATGTATTAAAAAAGAACAATTCCTCTTCAGAAGCCACATCTTTGGTAGGGTATCCTATCTTTCCCAATTCTTGAAAATATAATTTAATGATATCCTCATTATTAATCATCCCAATTACCACACACCCACAAGCTGATCCATTAAGAAAGTCTTTCGATAACTCTCACTAGTAACCTTATAAGAAAAGGTAATATGAGTAATCTATTATAATTGAACACACAACTCAAAAAAGAAATATAACAATTTCAAAAAGAAGTTTCAAAGCACAATAACATGACTCACATTTTCAACTTTATCTGTAAAATTTTTAGCTGAAATTTTCAAAAATTCAAAAACTTCACGATCAAATGTCACTAAATCAGCTGACCCAAAAGAATCTAGGACATGACAAGGTAGATGGTATCTTGAAAAATTACAGGCAAAGTAACGTTAAATCAGAATTACATACATTTACATCAATATATGAAATGAAAATCTAATATATGCTACATATATATCGAGAAATCACATGAGAAATCTTTTTCTGGCATTTATCATAGAAAAAAGAGTCTCCATCAGAAAGAGCTTTTTTAGCATAAGTGTTGCATCCATTATAATACAATCCACATTCTAGGTCCACACTAGCTATAATAGCCAATGTTATAACTTCAGCATCCTAGAATCACATATTTAATTAAAACAATGTTGTAACAATTTTTATCTAATTAGAAGACTAATAAATGATGTTCAATTTACAATGGGACCATCTTGAAGGTCATCTATATTTTCCATATCTTCACATTTCAAAATGTCATCCTTGTTTTTTAAAATTGTCTTGTTAGACAAATGGGAGGGTTCTTCACCCGCACCAATGTTCACGGCCTGCAACCTCCATGTGTCCAAAAATATATTATTAATTGTTAGAAACCCACATGATAAGAAATAAAACAAATGAACTCATTTTCATGAGTGAGAATAAAGAAATAAATGTTCTTTTGAATTGATTACAAATAGTGAAATAAAATTGAAATAAATGGACGTAAAAAGAAACATACGCAAACATTGAAAACAGAGAAAATGACATACTCATATGTAGTCCTTTTTGCATGCACGACCCACAAAGAGAAAGGAAGCTAGTGGGTTAGAATGAAGGAATGAAGAATTGAAACGGTAGCAATTTTTGACAAAAAATACATTTTTAATATTAATATATTAATATTAATTATGATATATTAATATTAATTAAAATTGATATATCACAATATTTTTAGTCAAAAATATATATTTAATATTTATAAATTGTTATATGTAATTGATAAAGCATATATCGATCCATCTTGAAAAATCATATCAACAGCAGAATCATCATCTTGTATCTTAGCAGTAGTCACAAACCATAATTGGACTATTTGAACTTTGATTTATGGGTGCTATCAATATCTCATATGGCATGAAAGATTGCCATATGAAACATTGGAGTATTGAATGCAACAAGAGAAGGCCAACATAAATAAGATTGCCCGTTTGTGTGAAATATACCAACTGTAAAAAGCTAAACTCATGATAACCTCTCACTTTTTGGGTTCGTTGGAGATAATTGTAATAGGTGGGTTGTGAGAGATAACTTGAGTTGAGGAAGATAACCATGTTAGAGGGAGGTATGGGAGGCAACTGACAGTCACATGGCATACATTAAATGACTAATTTTAAAAAAATATATATTATCTAATAATTGAAGTAAAATTTAGATGGCATAATTGTAGTTTAAACATATTTTATTTAAATGAGCTAAATTCAATATTTAAATAGTTATTATATTCTATAAATTTTTTAATCATTATATCTTTTTCAAAAATAAAATATTAATTAAATATAATATATGATCTTATTAGATTATTAGTCATAGACCGAGAATTAGCCTGGAAGTAGGTAGAACAAGAGGGAGGATGGTTTCTCTTCTACTTCATCACAGTATAGGAGGGTCTTCTCTTCATCAGTGTCATGTCTCTAGTCTAGTGGCAGGTCTTCGATAGTGGTAGGCGACAATAGTGACGGGATGCAGCATGAAGGCGAGGGAGAATCATCTGCAAGGTTTGTCATTCTTGTGGTGAAATTGAGCTTCTGAATGCAAATTAGGGGGGCCCTAGAATCTGATGTGATTTAGGGTTTTTCCCCCTTTTTAGCTTCTTCTTGTACCAAGGGAACCGGCATTTATAACTGGAGCAGGTTGAATTGTTTTGGGCCAGCCAATTGCCATATGTTTATTTGTTTTTGATAAAATTTCCATTAGTTTCTAGCAAATGCTAATATCCAGGTTGACCGTAAACTGAAAGCCTACCGTTTCAACTTTGGGACTGATGGTAAATAGTATCTTAGTCTCTTCATTCAAGTCTTGAGCTTAAAGAATGCCAAAAAAAAAAAAAAAATCATTCTCAAGCTAAGACGGCCACGTTGAGCAAAAAGGAAAAAACACCCTCTCACAATATCATAAGAATGATTAGCAGCTTTCTGGAGAAATGAATAAATACTGAGCTTCTTTTTATTTTTATTTTTAATACTAAGCTTAGTTGATTCTGAACGAGTCAAATATGTATGTATATATATATATATTCATATGCCATTTGGATAGTTTAAAAAATATCTATTTAAATATGCGCATTTAAATATCTATTTAAATATTCATACTTGACACATAAGTTTTAAATTTTAAATTTTGTAACAATTAAAGATTTAAGCATTTAAACTTTAAATGACTAATTTTAAAAAATATATATTATTTAATAATGAAAGTAAAAATTATGAGGGATTTAGATGACATAACCATAGTTTAAATAAATGATCTAAATTCAATATTAAAACAGTTATTATATTGGCAAATTTGTTAATCGTTGTATCTTTTTTAAAATAAAATATTAATTGAATATAATTTATGGTAATTCCAAGACCCACGACCATTTTCCATCTTGTGGGTGGTTATTTTAAATTTTTATTTAAATTTATGTATTTTGTAAACTAAATATAATTTTAAAAATTATATTTAAAATTATATTTAAATTTACATATTTCGTAAAATAAATAAAACTTTAGAAACTTAAACTTTAAATGCCAGATTTTTATTATGAAAATGAAATTAATTTAAATACATTGATTTCGTTTTTAAATTTGAATTAATTCTATGAAATTAATTTATTTGGATAACTGCTAATGTTTATAATAATCATTTCTTTTTATTTCTGTTATCTTTTTAATATTAAGCTTAGTTGATTCTGATGAGGCACTTGGTAGTTTTAAAAATATTCATTTAAATATGTTCATTTAAAAATTACAAAAGCTGTTGAGCGATATAAATCTATATATAATGGGAAGTTATCATGATCATGGGTGATTGTGAAATCTAAAAATACAGAAGCAATATTAAAAAATTTGAAAATATATTAAATTTCAAATTTTGTATATGAAATTTAAAATCTTATGGGTTCATTTCAAATTTGAGAGGTTAGTTATTTTTGGATGAAACAAAAAGCAAAAGAAATGAAGGACACATGGCGCCTCCAGACATAAGGACACATGACGCCTCCAGACATAAACTTGCGATTTTACTTATATACATACATACATATATATATATATATAGATATATATAAGATTGATCAGTGGTGGAAGTTGTTCTTTCTTTCAGAATGTGTACAATAATATTTTACAATAATCAAATCATAAATTAGTATTGATTCTTGTTGAATTTTTTTCTTGGTCCTATATATAGGAACTAGTTTAGGACACCTCGATCCCTTTTATCTCCCATATTTACTATTTTTTCCCTCTAAATCATCCCTATAATTATATTCATGTATGATGTATAAATTATGTTGATAATATCCAATGTAAATGATTAAAAAGGAGAATATTTTTTAAGAAAAACACATTTTATACAAATAACTTACTGACCTAATTTTTTTAATCGATGTGAAAGTAATTATTATTACAAAAAACGAGTTAAATAATACAATGCCAAAATATTTATAGCATAGTTTTAACATTTTATAGCACAGCATGTCGCTTTCATTTCTTCACACTTCACTCTAAAATTTGGTGATAAAGAAGATCATGCTTCAAAGTATTAATCTAATAAAAGAACCATTTGATAGAACGAAATTTCATTTAATGAAATTGATAAGAGATACTTATGTATTAGATACATGCTAGATGGTTCAAAAAATAATCATTTCTCTTTCGCCTAAAAAATTACAGAGGCATCTAATATTATTTGTGATCATACAAGTTTAAATATATATATATATATATATATATATATATCACTTTCAAAAAATAGAGAAAGCTCTTGAAGCTATCCACGATCGTAAATGGAACTAACGTCTAAAGGCAAACGCAGTGGTGGTGGTGGTTTTCCTGAGAAAACTCTATGCAAACCAAACACAAAATTATAGATTCTACATTCATTTCCAATTCTATCCCTCCAATTCTTTTGTTTTTGTTTTTTTTTCGGCCAGACCTCCAATTCACTACAAGCGGGACATAAAAGTACCTTAAAAATTTAGAGTTGAATAAAAATATAACATTAAAAGATTTCTTTTTATAAAAAATAGGGGCTGACCATAACCTTCAAGAGCCAGCCCTTTTTTAACAAGAGCTGAAAACAACCAGCCCTCTTTACCTTTTTTCTCTTGTTTTTTTTTTTTTTTAAATGCTAGCGAAAAGGGTTAAGTAAATGGTTTTCCGCTATATGAATAGAAGAGGAAACAAAAACAACATTTGAAGTTATGGGATGGTATCTATTGATGAATAACTCAAGTGTTCATAGAACATAATAATATCATGTGACATCACCTAACGGGAGATCAGACTTCTTGTTAAACCAGAATACATTTAATCTCTATTTGAGAAAGAAAGAAAAAAGAAACAACTACAAAAATAAGCAACACATTCTCAACAAGCACCACTTACCTGCTCCGCAAGTACCACAAAAAGTGCCTCGCATTTGCATGCCTCTCTGCATAGAGCACTGAGCAACGCGGTGCTTGTGCAACATACAGACACACATGGCATTTTCAAATTTCATTCCATAAAAAAAGATGATTGAATCAATGAAGATGATGGGTACAAAATTGTGGAGCCTCCCAAACGCAATCCAGGAGGCTATAGGCTTTGTTGAAGAACCATGCTAATCAAACTTCATTTTTCTTCCTGCGTTTATGTCCATCTCCTTTGTGTGGTCTTTTTGATACCTAGGTCCAAATTTGATCAAACTCTGTCAACAACTACACCAAGGCAACATTTTTTTTTTCTTCCTCACATTTCATAATGGAATAAAATAAAGGAAAAATTGATCAGTTGGTCCCTGTACTTAGCTTTAATTTGGGTCCAACTTGGTCCTTATAATTTAACTCAGTTATAACTCAATCTCAAAACTTTAACTTATTACCACTCAATCCCTATAGTTTTAGCCATTTAAAATATTAGTCCCTAAGCTTTAATAATATCTTTATTCTTTATAATTTTATTTTATAAAATATAAGGGCCAACATTTTAAATAAATAAAATTATAGGGATTGAGTTATACCGACTTAAAGTTGAATTACAATTGAGTCAAAAGTATAGGAAAAAATGATTAATTTTCTTTTAAAAAAAATTAAAAAAAAAATAATAGAATTAGAAAAATATCTTTGTTGATGCATAATGTACTCTATTCTGAGATGATCAAGTAATGTCCTTGAAGAATAATTATAAAAAAATATATAATATGGATAGATTCCTTTGCACCTTCAATCAACCACCACCTTGGATATCGGAGGCAGCGGATGATGAGAGGTCCTAATTGTTTCCATCTTGTAATTGTTTTTGTATCTTTAACATTTAATTAACGCAGTATCAGTTTCCATTCAAATTTTGTATCTTCACTTTTGGGTTCTGGAATGGGATTTCTTCAATTCCTTTCTGGCTACCAAAGGGGGCTTTTGTTATTTAAGAAGAAATTAAAAAGACTACCTTGGCAGATATAGCCTTGAGAGGGTCTCCACCTTTTCTGAACTTCTTCCTCCTGGATCCCCGGGATCGATTATTATTTCCCATTGCTTCCCTTGCAAGCTTGACCATTTCCCTTGCCTCTTTCGTTGTTTTGTCAACTAGGTAGTCTGGCACATCACGTAGGTGTGCCGGCGGGGCATTTTTGCTCAAAACTTTGTCATGCTTCAATAAATCTGCACATATACATGTCAATATTTCAAGACTACACTTCTCCGAGTGCAAACAAATCAGCCAGCAAGTGTTGACACTTCAATAAACTAATTTCATTACCTAGGTCCCTTGGATTAGATTCAAAGTGTGCCTTCAGTCTACAGGAGATGTGCAGGAATAGATCAGAAAGGCAATTAAATGTACAGATAGGAGATACATACATTTCTCCAGCGTATAAAATGTTATTAGTTAAGAACTCACTTTTCAGAGTTGAGAATTTCATTCCTCAAATCCTGGGCTCGTGATTCACGAACCGCAATTTTTGTCACACTCTTTGCAACATCCTGCAAAAGAAATCCACTCTATCAATTATTAACTGCCTAAAACAGCCATTAACGCCCAATATATATCCATACTATGCATCTCCTCTATATATAAAAGAAAAGGCCAGGCAGATGGGGCAAGCACTATCCAATACATCTTAGCACAAAGAATTAACATTTATGGTAGAGGATACATGGAAGGACAGCTGACTTGGTATTTCATAATTAAAATTTGTGTGTTTCAATGTTCTTGGGTGACAAACTATGAAAGCATCAATAGTTAGTTCCGTGCATTTACATAGAAGTAGAACTCAATATAAGCCACACTGTTTGTGAACTTGTACAGCTTTTTATATTTTTAAAATTTTATATTGATAACGTGCAAGATAAAATACTTCAATTTCACACAAATTGTTAGAGTAGAAGCATCTAAATGAAAGTCAAGAGTAATAATAAACGAAGGAATATTCTCCGATTTCATGCTAATAAAAAATGTAATAAAAAATCATGACAGACTTTCTGCAAGGAAAAAAGGTAAATGACTAATTCACCTCAGCCCGATAACGTAAAGATTCCACAGCATTCTTAGTGAGCAATGGAAATTCAGCAATTGTGCTTGAACCATTGCTTTCATCATCCCCAACAAAAGATTTTATTTCATCCAAAGTTTCCATCTCATCAGGAGAAACCTGTAAAGACATGAAAAATTAGATTGACAGGACAGTCATGAACCCTTTTATCACAAATATAATGTAAATCATGACCCAGCTTTTTGCTGGTCAAAACTACATTGGATCTCCCTTGCATTATTAACCAAAACAGAGGCTGCAAAGCAAAATTGAATCCAAATCTAAAATTCCCTCAGGTAGGAAGATTTTGTTTGTCTGAAACTCACCAAAGATATAGAAGAGCCTGAATTGTATGCTCTTCCAGTACGTCCTATTCGATGGACATATCCTGCAACACTTTGAGGCATTTCTAAGTTCATAACCTGTCAATAAACATCAGCAAGCATTAACTGAATGACAGAGATGAACCTGGCAATGATTGCAGTTTCCGAAAATAGCAGATATAAAAAAAAATCCAAAAATCACAATCAGATAAAATTCTTACGTCAACAGCATATTCTAGAGCAATAAATAATGGAAGTGTTCCAATATGTGCAAACCAAACACTGACACGCACAAACACATGAGAAAGATAACTTGCATACCGTGTACACATTTTTAAAGTCAATTCCCCTCACAACTCCAAATTCAGAATCTAGTTTTTGCTTGACATGTTTTTTGGACCGCCACAACTCACCATTACTTTGCTTAGTTGCTTCATCCTTCTCCTTTATGTGGCTGTCATCAGTTGCAATAAGATAATCAAAGAGGCCAGCATTGAATTCCTGGATAAAGCCAGATTTATGAACAAAAGAGTGAGACAATAGAGCCATAAAGAATAATAATATAGCCAACTATGGTACAATGCCAGAGTGTTCTAACTATTTAAAACAAGAATAATAACAACCATTGTACAAGGAGAAAAGAAAATAATTCGCTCATCTAATCTTATTGCAAACCTCAAGAATATGAAGACGAGAATTCTGTGGCAACTCAGCGTTTAAAACAGCAGACTTGATCCCAAACTAAGATGAAGTAGAAAGGACAAAATTAGAGGGGAAGGAAAATGAATAATACAATAAGCCCACAACAGTGAGCATGAATTTAACAAGCAGCTACAGAAATGTAAAGAACACTAGAGTAAAATCACAAGCATCTTCTTGATACTTCCAGGATATTTTCAACACAAGACAGACAGAGAACAAGAACAATCTTTATTAGCCATTGTATAGGTTAACAGGTAAGATAAAGCAAATAAAATTTACTTGGTGCAAGAAAAGAATCTGGCATACCTTTTCCAAGAATAGTTTCAATCTGAAACTCATGTCTATGCTATTGGTAAATATTAGAACTTTCTTTTGGACCAGCTCCAACTTCAACAAGGCAAGGATGTGAAGCAACTTATCACTGGTAGGGCATGAGATCTGAGACAAAATACTTGATCAGAACAATTAAAGGCTGTTTATGTATGAAGAAATATTGTCTGATCAGGGTCAACAGGCATATATCAAATAAGTATTAAACAAGAATTAATGGAAATAAAAAGTTTTAAGAATCGATAATGCAAAATAGTAGCTTAATCTTTCATTGAGATAATATTGACATATGCAGAAACAGTAGATAATATCTTCACTCAAGATATGAATCTCAAAAAACAAGCTCAGTAAAGGCACTACCATTAGCCTTTCCTAAGGAAGAATATCACTCTCACCCCTCCCCAAAAAAAAAAATAGAAATAATTAAAAAAATGAAAATGAATGACCAATGACAACTTGTACCATATGATGTAAATTCAGTTACGAGACAATTTTAATCATCCCACATAGTGGAGTAAGCTAAGTTATATATATATATATAGAGAGAGAGAGAGGGAGAAGGAGATGATCTCAGCTATCTATTAACTTCATCACAGCAAGCCAGCCAACAGTCAAACGCTGATTCAGTCATATTCCAGGAGCAGCAAATAAGCTAGGTTTCCCACATGATCAAGAAGACAAGACGGCCCAATGCTATAACAAATCTTACCCAAAATTGTTGAACATTTTTAGGGATAATCTCATCCTTCTGATTTCCTAGTTCAGGCAAAGTCAAAATAAAGGGATTGTGCAGAATCAACTTCTTTAGCTTGTCAACATCAGCACTGCAGATGACAATACATTTTAAAATGAGACCAGGAAGGTTTAAGCATTTGTAATTACAAGGAAAACAAAACACAAGGTCATGATACAATTAAAGAGTAATTAAAAATTGCAGTCTGTGAATGGTCCCACTCAGAAACTTCCACTACAGTTTACTCAGATCAAATCTCATTATTAACAGATGGATAATCTTCAAGCGTTCAAAAGAACACAGGAAAGTAATTTTCAGGGCTTTCTTAGTTTCATATTTTCTTACTTATCGAAACAAAGATGAAAAACCAATAAAGATACTGCAATGACATCCCATGACATCATAAAGCACTTGAGTAGACAACTCAGAAGAGTCAGAAAAAATAACTCACCTTGATGTTGCGGACATTAGAAGACATTGGCAACTTCTAGGCACATGAGCTGAAAAGGCTTTTATATCATTTTCATAGCCGTATGACAACAGAAGATCTGCCTGAAAGCACATGGAAATAAATTATTGACCAAGCACAAAAAGAAGTGAGGAGGACTTGAACTTTACTCAGTGGCTTCTTAAATGATGTTGGTGAAATAAAATGAACAAATCAATTTATAGCAACCCTTCAAACCGAAAAATATAGCAGGTATCAAAACACATCATAATAAACATCACATTATAGAAGTCAATCACAGTATAGAAATAATTTAACACAAAAAATCAAATTAATTGTCCCAAAAAGGGAAGCAAAGTTAAATTAAGAATCAAAAGTAATAATAACCTATATTTGAACTCACCTCATCAAGAACTAGAGTTTCAAGGGAACTGTTAATGGATGTTGATTTAAGTATGTCAGTGGACAAGCATTTAGCAATGCAAGCAGGAGTGGAAATCAATACATCAGGTGGTCCAGTCATTGCTGCCCGCTGCAACCAATTTAGAGCAAAAAGGGTGTCATCCACTAGCATTTACAGTAACAAAAATTTTAAGAGATTGGTGCTAGAAAATAGAAATCCATACATCTTTTGATAGCACAATCAAACACTGAGAAGTGACAACAAATGAAAGGAAAGCAAACTAACCAGATCAGAAGCCTTCATATTGCTTGTCAATTGCACAGCTTTCAACTGAACTCTGCATAATTCTATAAGGGAGGAAACCTCTGCGTATACCTGATAAAATAAATGCAAATAAAAGGTGAGCAACTGATCCCAAAATGGAAGAGGAGGAGAGAAGAACAAGATGCAAGCAATCAAATTGGAAAGAAGTTAATTGACCTGTTGACATAGTTCTCGAGTTGGCACAAGAATGAATGCATTGGGTGATAGCTTCTTTCTTTGAACATTATTAGTAAACAATTTTTGAAGCAATGGAAGAAGGTATGCAAATGTCTTGCCAGAACCTGTCTTTGCCCGAGCAACCACATCCTTACCTTCCTGGAGATAATTAACTATACCATTAAAAAACTATTAACTAAAAAAATTAAGTTATCAAAAAAACACTGCAATTAAACCAAACAGCAGGATTTAGATATTAGAAGCAGCTGTAGAGAACTTCATAGTAAACAAAATTGAAGTAGGACTCACCAATATGAGTGGAATGGCCACCTGTTGAATTGGAGTGAGTTTCTCCACTCCCTTTTTGAGTAAGGCATGAACTAGGCGTGCATCCAATCCTAGTTCTTCGAAAGTCTGGTCTTCTGTAACTTCATGTTCACGTGCAGTTTCTTTAGAGGTATTTTCACTTGCTTCGCCCATAAGAACCAACTAAGCACACAGCTTACAGTCAATAATATTATGGTTACAGCACCCAGCAGGTAGATAGTGTTTAGTATCACAAATTATAAACTCACAGGTATGAAAACCAAACCAAGATTTTTTTTTTTTCAAGAAACACACTAACACATGTAGTATGTTTACTAGCACAAAAGATTAATAATATGTCACGCCCCAAAATACCTAGCATGACCAGCATGAAATTCGAGGTTAACCTCGCTTTGTAAGTCTAATCAATATATATGTTCCCAATTACAGTTGGGAAAAATTATAAACCTCAGTGGCATAAAATCAAACAACATAATAATACTCATGACTTTACGTAAAGATTTTGAGTAAATCAAAAAAAAATAAAAAATAAAACAATTAAACAACTAATTCAAACATAATAAGAGAATTACTTCTTCAATCTATAATCCATAAGTAATAAAAATAAAGAGGAGGATATCTTGCCTGTTGGTTGGAACAACTATCAAATGCCACAAGACAATAATTCAAATTTAACATAAATTGAACTTTACAATTATTCAACAAGGAAACCTACTTTATAATGCAGATGAAGGTGGTGGTAGTTTCTATTATCTGAGATACAAACAATTTAATAAGTACATGATACCAAGGTTAATTATTAAAATATTTAAAACATCAATGATAAATAATAGCAAATCAAGTTTAATTTTCTTAAGGTGAGAACCATAACTTGGTAATTTAAATTATCTAAAAACGCTTCAAATGTATAAACATGGTCAAGGATAAATGTTTATTGACACAATACTCACAATATAAAATGAGGATAAGTGTATGAAACATACTTTCAAACTCATTAAAGTAACAAAATAGATTTTGTAATAGAGATCTAGCATCAACTTATCCAAAAATTTCACAATAAGAATTCCTTTTTCAAAAAGAAAAAAAAAAAGAAAATTCAGAGAGAAAATATTTTTCTTAAAAACAGGTGCCCTTAGAGGAATCCACACAACACAGGATTTTTAGTCATGGGCACACAGCCGATATGGGTAAATCACCAAACAGACGCGGCTCAAAAGCAACAGATAACAAATGCGGCTCGAAGGCCATGAATAACAAAAGTGCTGTGTTTGATCCCTCCAAAAGGATTCCTAGGTATATCAAAAAACCATTCCTTCCATATAAGAAATTTAAAAAAAAAATCTAAACAATATCCATAAGGCATTTTTCCCAAACTTTCCTCCACAGACTCTCATATGCTTGTAAAACTTTCTTCCAGAAATAAAAAGGATTTTTATCATTATAAAAACACTTGCAAAAATCTCAATTTCAAAACTCAACTTGTCATGCTCAAACCAAGATAAATGTCAAAACAACCATTGCATTTAGTTCAAAAGTAATTGTATAATAAACTTCCCAATAGACTGACATTTCTCACGATGCCACAATATGAATTAACAATTAGATATGCTAAGAGCCAAGAGATGACTATCTTTCTACTAAAGAGCAAATCAACAACTTGGAAACAACATAATTATGTTATAACATCTTTTGATATTCTCAAAGTCATTCAGCACATGATTGAACCAAAGAAATTCAAAAGAATGAATACCCAACCAAATCTAAACAACATAACTCTTCACTGAGAGTTTAATGAAGTATTAGTGACATATCCAACACTTATATATCAATAAAGAAACTGAATAATACTTAATTATATAAAATTTCTTCTTAAGCATTTCATTAGGATTCCTTGTAGAACAAGAGAATGAAAATTTCAATGCCTGGCAAATTAAAAAAAAAAAAGTACAACATTTCATTACTATCAGAACCCATATGGTTCAAGGCAACCCTCCACGCTTCCGCTGCCCTACTCTCATAATTTAATAGTGCATGTTTAATTAATTAATCATTCATCAATCACATCATCAGCAAACAGGTCTAATGCAGTAGAAGCTATTACTATAAAACTTACAATTTAGTTTGTTGAAAAAGAAAAACAAGGCGAGATTCTCAAATCTTTCATCCGTCATTATAGATGTGTCCCAAAAGTTATCAAACTTCCAAATTTTCATTTTCATTTTCATTTTTTTTAACATAATAACTAGTTAAATTCAGGGGGGAAAAAACCAAAATTCATATTTTAAAGGTTCTCCAAGCATCATCCTTTATCACCATTTTTTCCTTCATATTACTTTAGCCATAACTAATTATTTCAATGAGATATAATCCTCTCAGACCTTTCAACAAACACCTAATGTGCATCAACTTCTGATTCATACAGTGGAGTCTCTTGTCTATCAATTATTTGCTCAAAAATTTTCAGCATCATATTCAGATTTCTCATACTTTTCCAACCCATATCCCATCAAGAATCAATTTGAGCTCAAATAAAATTCAAATCCACACTATCCTCATTTTGCTCATTAGACTAAAAATGTCAGCTTGTTCAAAGCCCTCCTTCCAATTCGAACACACAGAAACAGCAGAACAAGGAATCACAATCTCCACCATTCAGACACACACAAATCACACAAGGAAGAGAGAAATTTAAAATTTCTTATAAAAGATCAGCCACAAAAGAGCAAATTAGATTAAAAAAAATTGAAGCTGCAGAAAATCGAGGAGGAGGGGAAAAAAAACCAGACGACTTAAGGCACGGGATTGGGAGAAGAACCACAGGCTTCCTCAAACCAGATAAACAACAGACCAAAAGGGAGAAGAGGTTCTGGCGATGCGACGCGAAGAGGACGACGGCAAAACAGGACGGAGAAGACAGGACCAAGAGAGGACAAGTTGGACCCCTAGTAGCGGCGGATCGCAGCGAACGAACCACCCACGCCGGCTAACACTCTGGAAACCAAGAAGGACGGAGGATGAGGGTTTTCGCAACTCTTTTTTTCAGCTGGTACCGGACGCATAGATGAATGCCGAAGTAGGCGGAGCAAAAGTATTCCAGTTCAGTCGAATTCCATCCAGACAAACTCAATTCTATACAGTCTGGATAAAAAATTAATTTTTTAAAATTAAAAAGATCAAACTCTTTCTTAACTGTATAAAAGATCAAACATCTAAGTCACCGATTCAATCCTATAAATTTATTTAGTATAATTACAACTAATTATTATTATAATAAATTAATTTATAATAATAATTAATAATTTTTTGTATTTATACTTGTGAAGCAGTGAACATTAAACAAAATTTTAATATTGACTAACCTCAATTTTTTCTTTTTATTAATAAAATTTGTTATTAACTTGATGTAATGAACTTTAAATATATTGAAGTTGTTTAATATTGTTAAAGGTTATTTAATTTAAATCATTTATATTATAACTAAAATATTTTTTATTGTTGTTGGAGATTATTGTGAATTTGTAATTATTGTTGTGATAAATTTTATATTACTATAAGTAATTTTATTATGTTAATTGAGTTTATTATGTCAAAATAAATTGTTATCTCTCATAAATGAAAAATGAAAAAAAAATAAAGTGAGATACTAGATAAGAATGAAACCAATCTCCTAGTTCTAGGAGATCAGTTCGGTCCTTAAAGCCTTAGATTATACTAGAACCAGACCAGACCATGAGCGTCTCATGAGAATTTGAGCCTAGAACCTGAAGGTAAACATCCATGGATACTACCTTTAAGCCACCAAACTATGTTGATAAGTATCTCCCAAACTTCATAAAAATACAATAAAAATGCCTTATCATAAATTAAATTTTCTAAAAACTTATCGTTTATTACATTAAAATTAGGGAAAATTATGAATAGGGCTCATAAAAGCAACTTATTTAACAATAAGTCCTGCGAAATTGAAAAATTATAACTAAATTTTGTGGGACTTGAGTGTAATTTGTAATATGTGCATAAATGCAATACTATCCCTATTTAATAGGTTACAATGACAAAAATATCCCTTTACCTAAATTAACCATTATACTCAGTCTCTCACGTCATTGCATTGCCGCTACTATTCTTCTCCTTCATCAATTCGTCTATTGTGCTTCGTTCATTCTATCTATTCTGTTCTTCTCCTTCATTCGTGTTCTGCTCTAACCATCGCTCGCTCTCTTCGTTGGGAATTGCTAGGGCAGAATCTATCATCATTAATCATCACAGTCAATTGTAATCTCGATTCTTTCCCTTGGTGCTGTAATTGCTCTGCGTTTTCATTATTTAATTTACGTTTCCATTACTGTAAGCCTTAGTTTTCACTGTTCAATATTCAAACTTCTTATCAAATTTGCTAGATATAAAAAGATTTGAACATTTGCTCTGCTGGATCAATGTAAAAAAAAAACAAAGAAACAGAGTTCAATTATAGCGAAAAAAGTTACAAAGAACAAAATTTCTGTGAATAATCCCATAATTACTGAAAATACATAATTGGTTGAATTATTAAATATTTGAAGTTAGAGTTGTGAAAAGTTAAAATACTAGTTGTAAATTACTAATAAAGTAGTTGTAAGCCAACTAGCGTTAAACTTCTTAATAAGGTATGATCAATGTCACCATTAGATATGTGATGTTTTAGTTGTAAAAATCTGATATTTTTGTTGTAAATTATTGATAAGGTAGTTGTAAATAATTAATTTTAAACTTTGTTGATTTGAAAAGATAATATTGATGTTAATATTCAACAGGTATATGTGGATGATGGCAAGTTCTTCATCCAAACGAGTATATTGTTATTTTCATATTGGAGGGCAAATGGTGAAGAATCAAGATGGGAGTATACATTATGAAGGTGGGAGGGCAAAAGGAAGAGCAATTAATGAAGGCACAACACTCGAAAAGTTGAAAAGAATTATAAGATTATGTATTGGGTTGGAAACAAATATATTGGAGATGAAATATACCATAAAACCTGAAATGAACACATTAGTTGACCTTGAAGATGATGAAGCAATTGCTAATTTGATAGATTTCAATGACAATACTGCCTATGTTTATATTGTTGGCAATGATGTTATTAATATAGACATGGTAACCAAGTCACATGAGGGGTAAGTTGTAATATTTACTTAACATCATTTGGGAATTATTGTGATTTAATTGGTGGATATTTGCTTGTTATTGCAGATTGTCACAAATTGGTGGGTATTCAATTAGCTTGAATGAACTCAACCATGAACCTGAATCGATACCTCTTTCAATGAGCACTGCACCAGCACCGTTGCCCGAGTTTAATGCTTTGAAATGAAAAGATTTGCTTTATGGAGCTGGGCAAATGTTCCATAATGCTGTAGAATTTAGACAAGTACTTTACAAGTTTAGCATTGGAAATAAGTTTTGTTATAGTTTTGTGAAAAATAACACAAAAAAAGTTATTGTAAAGTACAAGGTAGACGGGTGCAAATGGAGAGTGAGTGCATATGCCATTTCTGAAACAAGTCCTGTATTGAGGGTAACATCATTATATAATGAGCATGCACACTCAGCACAAGATACATTAGTTGTTCAGCAGAAGGCTAATGTAAATCTAACTTCATCTATAATAATCGATGAACTAAAGTCAAATGTTGTACCAAGAATTTGGGCTTACCCTTACTTATAGCCAGGCATACAGGGGAAAAAGAGAGAGCAATGGAGGAGTTGCATGGTGCTCCTGAAGATTCATACAAGTTGATTTCATGGATTTGTCAAAGATTGACTGAGAAAGATCTAAGGACAATAGCAAAATGGACAGCTTGCAGAGATAACAGTTTTAAGAGGTTGTTTATTGCTTACGGTTGTTGTATAGATGGCTTTTTAAATGGTTGCAGACCTATTTTGTATATTGATAGATGTCACTTGAGCGGGCCGTATAAAAGATCATTGTTATCAGCTTCTACTCATAATGTAGGTAATGATCTATTTTCGGTGGCTTATGCAATAGTTAGTGGGGAGAAGTTACAAGAATGGACTTGGTTCATGCATAACTTGAAAGATATTATGGGATCTTTAGAAGTGACTATTGTATTTGATAGACACAATGCAATTATTAGTGCTGTGGAAGTTGTTTTTAGAGGGAATAGACATGCATTTTGCTATCGGCACATGAAAGAAAATTTTAATGCAGAGTTTGTAAAGATTGGAAGACGTAGAAGAAGAGCTACCACAATAAGCAAGGAAGATGCATTGAAGTTGTTGGATGCTATAGCATATGCTAGAATTAATCTTGAATTTAATAGAGCAATGGGAAATTTGAGAGCTTTTTGTCCAGAGTTGGCTCAATGGTTGGAAACTAATGGTGACATTAATAGATGGGCCTTATCAAAATTCCCTTTTCATAGGTGGGACAACATAACTAATAATTTATCTGAATCTTTCAATGCTTGGCTAGTTAAAGAAAGGAAACATAGTGTGGTCACACTACTTCTTAAACATCAAGAAAAGCTTGCGAGTAAGATGTATGCAAGCAAAGTTGCTATGAGCAAGTGGCAGAATGGTGTTGGGCCAAACATTGAGGAAAAGTTAAAGGCCAATGTTGCACGGGTAGAAGTAATGTTAGGTAACCATCATTCAGGTAACTTACTGAGTGTGAAGATAGGAGACATTCATTTGCGGGTTGACCTATCTCTTAGAGAATGTACATGTCAAGCTTGGCAGATGTCTGAAATCCCTTGTGCCCATGCATGTGTAGCTATAAAAAAGGTTTATGGTAATGTGTACTCTTATGTGGAAGGATGTTATAATTTGAGATCTCAGGAGAAAATATATAAGGACACAACAATCCCCATCGAGACAAATGACATGCCACGAGTGAATGCGTTAACAATTATCGAGATGATGACAAAAACCTTCCTAAAGCCCCCTACTACCTCTTGTCCTTCTGGTCGGCCCCAATTAGTGAGAAGAGAGTCTCAATCACAAGGCAAGAAGATTTATCATTATGTAAGATATGGCCAAAGTGGTCACACGCATAGGACATGTTGAAATCCTAACCCTACATGACCTAACAAGCTAAAGCTTAACTAGTTTATTTTCAATTTCAAAATGTTTTTTCTTTGAATTTATGATGATCTTATATGATTGTGTTAGTGAAAGATTATCAATTTCTATATTTTAATTGTGAAGTTCTTGAGTTCATAAAATAAGAAATTTGATTCATCAATTAAGAAGTTCTACTTGTAAAATAAGAAGTTTCAGTTGTAAGCAAATGGTGAATGATTATGGAGCATAAACACAAATTTGTTAGTATATTAGTTATAGAACAAGAAATATGACTTGTGAATTAAGAAGTTCTACTTGTAAAATAAGAAGTTTCAATTGTAAGCGAATGGCGAATGATTGTGGAGCATAAACACAAATTTGTTAGTATATTAGTTATAGAACAAGAAATATGACTTGTGAATTAAGAAGTTCTACTTGTAAAATAAGAAGTTTTAGTTGTAAGTGAATGGCGAATGATTGTGGAGCATAATCACAAATTTGTTAGTATAGTAGTTACAGAACAAGAAATATAACCTGCGAATTAAGAAGTTTTACTTGTAAAATAAGAAGTTCCAGTTGTAAGCAAATGGCAAACAATTGTGGAGCATGAACACAAGTGCTTTAGTATATTAGTTACAAAACAAGAAATATGACCTGCGAATTAAGAAGTTTTACTTGTAAAATAAGAAGTTCCAGTTGTAAGTGAATGGCAAACAATTGTGGAGCATGAACACAAGTGCTTTAGATAGCCTACAATGTTAACATCATATTTAAACACTATTAATGAACCCTTTTGGCTTTCTTATTTAGTTTGTCGTTTTCCATCCAAGCCATAACATTTTCTCGAGCTGTGTTATTGGGATCATTTACTAAATCCCACACCATGTCAATGCGAAGCCTTTCCATTGCACCTTAAGTTCAAATTCAAAAGATATGATTTAGTACTTATGTTTTAAACACCATGAACATGTACAATTTTCCACAATGCACCAAAAAATAGAAAAGATAATATAAAGGAAAATTACCCTTTCTATAGGAGGCATTGACTTGCCATTCCATTCAGGTTGTTCAGTGTTATCCCATTGTTCAAGCCATGTTATAAGATGTAGGCCGCAATCATATCTACAACAAAATTACTCAATTAATAGCTTTAATGTATTTATAATAACTTTTAAATTAATTAAGATTAACTTACGTAGTCTTTTGTTTTGGAATAAGCGCAAATGTCACGTTCAAGTCAGGATTCTTGTGATATTTGTCTGGATTAACCATCATTAGGATGCTTTTGAAGTTATGAGACTATACAATTAAACACAATCATAAGTATCATGCAAAGTATCATATAAGCTCAAAATGAAAATTGTATATTATTTCTTACCATACTCTGGGCTAGCAATCTCTTTTCATTTGCTAAAGTGTCATCTGGCTTGAGCACAAGCGGATACAATGAGTCAAGCACATGGAAATGCAATCCTTTTAGCTTCACAAAATAACAAAACCAGTGTGAATGGTACAACACTGGTGCAATAATGAAATCACACTTTGTAATATTGTAGCCTAAATGTTCTGGCATAAACAACATAGTATGCTCCCTAACCTTCCAACCCTGCACATCTTTCATCATTATTTCCATAAACAATGGGGTAAATATATAGCAGCTCACACCACCTTCTCTTTCTTTTTAAGCAGCCATCAAAGCTTTGATCTTCATGGTCATCACCGTGTCATTGATCCATTTTCATGGTGCAAAACAACGCAACTCACCTCGTGTTACATAAAAATCATACATATCAATGAACATCCTGTTTAGATTAGTTTAAAAATAACAAATAATGTTAAATTGAGACCACAAAAAAAGTTATTTACACAATACATAACTAATAATTAAATCTTATTGTTCACAATCCTCTTAGCCCATTTTGTGCAAAAATTATAAAGGCATCACTTCTCATCATATGTCAGTCATCAGAGGTGAATTGTGGCAATGTCACCTTAAAGCCAGACCATCGTCTGCCGTGATGGCCTCTAGTTGACCTTCTAAGCTTCATTTCTTCTTCTAAATCAACATCCATTAACTCATCTCCATCACCTCCTTCATGCTCTTTTTCTTCCTCTTCATCCTCACTTCCTTCTTGCTCATTTTCTTCCTCTTCGTTCTCACCTTCTTCTTTCCCTTCTTCTTCATTCTCACCTCTTTTATCCCCTTTGTCTTCCTCATATATTGCAACATGACTCACCTCCTCTGCCTGTTCTAGATCATATATTTTCTCTTCTTCTCAATTGCATAACGTTTCTTTTGCACCTTCATAAGCACCTCACCAATATGTCCAACTAGCTCTACATATGCCTCCTTGAGATCCTACAACAACATAGTTACAAATATTCCCATCATACAAGTAAACATGACATCATTTAATAGTAATCTTATGTAATTATTATATTATCTTACAATGTCTTGAAAGGCTAATAGTGGAAGAAATTGAGAGGAAGAATCACTTGCAGCAAGCTTAGGTTTTTACAGCATGCCATGATCGCTCTATCTTTCTATGAGAAGTTGCTCAGACGCCCTCTTCTCATTCCAATAACTAACAGCATTACCTGGCCAAGGCAATGTCTCTGGCTCCTCTAATGGGAAATTCTGAAAGAAAAAGATCTGCCCATAAAACATTAACCAATGTTAATAAGACATCACATGGCAATAAGACTTTCAACATTAATCAAAAACCCAAAAGACATCCACCAACATTTCTCTTCTTACCTCTTGATTCCTTGAAAGTTTGAACCTCCCTAGTCATCTCATTCAATATAAATGTTGCCAGTCATATATTCCAATGAGCACATAGTTCTTACTAACTACTCGAAGTAAAAGATCACTCAAATGAGGACTAGATGTAGGAGCTAAAAAAGTCCTCAGCGTGTACAACAAAAATAAAGTCTCAAAAGCATCATCATTCTCACCAGACATCATCATATCTTTCATTTTCTTATAAGACATGCTAGAATACTTCTCTTTCATGATTCGAAGCACCTTGTCATCAGCTTGAGCAATAACCACCTCCTTTGAGGTGTTTGGAAGGCCTATCAATGTCTCCACATCCTCACATTTAACCCGTCTTCTTACATTTCTTGCACATAAAGTAAAAGTGGGTGGGTCATATGCCATCATTAGTTCGAAGCACAATTCTTGATGTATCTTGGTGCGTTGTATGTTTAGTAACTGTGAGAACCCCATCCTTTCAACCTTATCCTTCATCCATTGATGCTTCTTTACAAACTCCCCAACCTCAGCAAATTGGTTAAGAGAACAACGAGTTTCAAATGGATGCTGTTAATTCCATAAACATGTCACTCACCTATACTCCAAAATAAAAAAAATAAAAAAAACACGTCTTTGATCCTATACATACCACACTTTGTTTTGGCACATTGGTGCTTCTTCTTTCTCTTTCTTCAGTAGCTAGGTCATTATAATGTTTTCTTTCTTCCGTGGACAAATTTTCCTAAGTAGCTACCACTTCCTTGTTAGCCAATCTTTCACCTTCTCTTTTCGCTTTCGGCTGGTTAAAAAATATTCGTCTAAATAGATGGTAACCGGTAAAATTAGGTTTCTTAGATCTGGCCACTTTCCCTTTTCCTTTATCCATGATTTGACCTGTACAAATCATACATTCAAGCAAAACTATGTCAAATTTTAAGCACAGAAAGTCATTTTTTTAATGCAATCTAAGTTTGTTTTTGTGATGATAGCTGACACAATATATAACTGTATATCCTTGTTCCTGAACAAAATGGGATATATTCAAATTAAGTCTTGTCCTTTGAAATCAATCTCCTTTTTAAATCACTCTAGAATGAACTCTTCAGGCCTTTCCCTAAGGTCTACAGTCTTTAAAGTTAGTGATTATGTGGAGAGTAAAGCAAAGATTTTCCAGAAGGAAGTACATGAGAGAGAATTAGATTTGAGAGGATTCCAAATCTTATCAATTTGTTGGTAATGAAGAAACACCTATAATTTGCAAAAGCTTCCTCCAACTCTTTCAGCATATTTATTTATTGAAAATAAATGGAATGGAATGAGTTGATAGAGAACAAAATTAACTAATAGCCTATTTGATTATTAGAAAGGACTGAAATGAGGTAATAGAGAGCTGGGAATGAGGATTGACATGAATAAGGTCATAAATCCTCATTCCCATCTATTCATCTCTCCATGACTCTCATCTTTACCATTCCATAACTTGATTTTAGTCTATTTTATTCTCCATCAACATATTTCATTGCATTGCATTTCTTTTCAACAATCAAATGGGCCTTAAGTGCATGTTTGGACCATGGAAAAATACTTTTAAGAAATGAAATGGAAAATGCACCTATCTCATCTTATATCCAGATAAATTCCCCCTTTCCTTTCTAGAAAACATTTTGTCATACATCAAACATAGACTAAAAATTAACTTGAAAGTAAAAGTCCATTGGCCTTCTGTCATAGCCATATTGCACCAATGAGACAAAGAGTCAAATGGTTTCCATAATGCAATCCGTTTTTAGTGATAGGCTCACTGTAAACCAGACAGCTCTAGAATAGTAGGCTTGAAAGATAATAATAGGGAACAAGTGACCTGTACGATACATCTAACATCAAGCCTCTAAACATGCTATTTTATCATTTGGCTTAGTCGAAATTATTCAACCCAGAATAATCTAAAAATGTGGGCAACATATTACCAGATCAAGATGTTGTAATATTCCTTTGGGTTCAGTAAGATTCCTCGCTCGCACTCACCTTCATCGCCTTCGCCTCTATAGCTTGCAAGGCTCACGCATCATTCATCTTCCTCTCAATCAAGGTGCGTGGCTCACCTTTAGTAATGAGCGAGCAAGGGGCAACGACTAGGGCAGAGTAATCGTGGGAGACAGAGTAATCGTGGGAGAGGGAGAGATTGAGTGTTTTTCTGCAACAATTTGATTATTTTAACAGGGGTAATGTTGTCTTTCTACTTCAA